GAGGGATTTTTAAAAAACAAATGATCATGAGACTTTTACATTGTAAGGTTTTTGGATATGAATTGCTTTTGTTCCAATTGATGGCTTTATTGCTATATTTTGACTCCTAATTGCAGTGGCTACTTTAGGCTTTTGTGGGCTAAAAAGCCAAGCAAATAGTATCAAAATAAATAAAAATTAAGTAACTGGGGATGTCATATATCTCTATTCATAAGAATAATTGTATTGAAAAATAAGTTTCTTAATAGGAAAAGACAGTGCTCAAATGGCTGTCATTGTAATGTATGAGGCAAAGCATAAGAGGAATTGGTCTTTGGGAGAAAAAAAAGTCTCATTTACGAAATCATTAGAAAATCTGACATACTCCCTGTGTGTAGGGCAAGAGAAAATAATACAGGTATAGGAATAATATAAGATGTGCATAATTCTTCAGTGTACCTAGTTACTTACCAGAAAAGCTAAATCAAGAATTTTCAAACATTTAACATTATGTGAGCAGAATTCCACTCACCGAACAGAGTTTCTGACTGTTTCACTTCCACTACCTTTCATCTGAACCCTAAATCTGACATAGCAGATCCCTAACTTTCTAGATCTGATTTGGGGCACAAATAAGAAAGGAGAAAGGAGTAGATTATTCCATTAGGAGCTGTATTTTATTGATAGATACATACCGATTATGCTCCTTTAACAATTCCCTGTGCATAAATTGGATTGTAAATAGCAAGGGTAAAGTTTAGACATCCAAGATTAAAATTTACTCTTAATATTTACAATCTAACTTTAAAAGCATCATTAGTACAAAAGCACAGTGATGCAATATTAATGGCAATCTGACTGCTTGCCTTTCCATATTTCAAAGGATTGTTTCAAAACTCAGTAGCGTCAACAGACAGCAGCTTTCAGTATTCTAGAATGCATTTATCTGGAAATAGGTTTTAGTGAACTCAGGTGGGATTACTTCTGAGTAGACACAGCTTTGTAAATTAATGTTATCAATTACTATGAGCTATAAATTCGAGCTAACATGAGGATTTTAGTTTAAAGATCAGTGTTTAGAGGACTACAAGTAGTCCTCAATTTACAAGCTCAATTGAGCCCAAAATTTCTGTTGCTAGGTGAAACATTTGTTAAGTGAATTTTGCCCTATTTTACGACCTTTCTTACTACAGTTGTTAAGTGAATCACTGCAGTTATTAAGTTAGTAACAGGGTTGTTAAGTGAATCTGGCTTCCCCATTGACTTTGCTTGTCAGAAGGTCACAAAAGATGATCAAGTGACCCCAGGATGTTGCAACCATCATAAATATGAGTCAGTTGCCAAGCATCCAAATTTTGATCACATGACTATGGGGATGCTGCAATAGTTGTAAGTGTGAAAAATGGTCGTAAGTCATTTTTCTTCAGTGCTGTTGAAGCTTTGAACGGTCACTAAATGTACAGTTGTAAGTCGAAGACTACTTGTATTAGTGCATTGTAGGTTTTTCTCCTTCCTTCCTTCTTGAGAAATAGTTGTTTCTTGATACCAGAATTACTGTGTCTAATGCAAGGCAGGTAGTCCAATTGGGACATTTGGTTGTTAAGTGAAGCAGTCACTAAGTGAAATCTTGACTGTGCTTATGATCTTACTTAAGTTTTCCTTTGCTTTACAGACCTGTGAAGGCCATAAATGTAGGGCAGTGTTTCTGAACCTTAGCAAGTTGAAGATGTGTGGACTTCAACTCCCAGAATTCAACTCCCGTGGAATTCTGGGAGTTGAAGTCCACATATCTTCACGTTGGAATTGGTTGAGACACACTGATGTAGGGAGTAGTCATAGCATTACTTTTTCATCATCATCTTCATAACTTCAACTTCAAATGGTCACTAAACAATGCAGTCATTAAAAGATGAGTACCTGTACCTTAATCTGAATAGGCAAACTAGAGTCTGGGCTATCATCCAAACCATGACTTGAAGTTGATTTGCAAAAAATAAATATTACTATTGTTAATCAAAATCTGTACTAGTCAGATGACTAGGCAAAACATGAATAGAACCGCTTCAAAAAAAAGAGAGGAAGATATATGCAAAATGGAATGAGATTATATACATTTGCAGGATAGAGAAACAAATCTGACCTGATGTGTCATGCAGATTGCCTATAATTAAATATATATATGGCCAAGGCTTCTGCAGGTCACAATTCCTCATTTAATAAACCACTGGAATAATATAGACATTAGACTTCACATTAGCTGCAAGACTGCAGATATATTAAACTTTCCCCAATGCATCCATATTTAACTCAATCTTGATCGTAACTGCATCACCGGCAAAAGGATTTATCGAACCTAAACACTTTGGTCCATAAAATTATATTTCATCTCATAATTATGAAGTTTAGCACTTCATTGGAGAGTTAATGTTTTTCATCATGAAATTATTCGTTCTTAGAAAGCAATGAAAAAAACAGTCAAGCTAACACAAAGCCTCAAACCAATCCAAAGTCCATTTCTTTTCCTACTCAGGGTAAGCTTTCCTTGAGTTTAATGGGGTAAAATCGTAGTAAATATGCACTGGATTATAACCACTAGAAGAATATAGCACACAACAAGTTCTCCAGCAGTTTTATTTTACATTTTTGCTTGTACTCTATCAAATGACCATAAATATGTCCATAAAACATGAATTCAGCTTGTCTGGCTTAATTTTTATTTTGTGTATTCTGGAAGTGTTTAATGCAGCAAAGTAGTAACTGCTTTTGAACAAAATAGATTTTACATCTGAGAAAAGTCTAAAACTACACTCTGTTTTACTGTTAGGAAGCCAAGGGCACAAAATTTTCTTTAAATGAATGTTCTGCCACCAAGACTGGAATAATGTTGCTAGTTCCTATACAGATCTTGGGCACAGGTACCTTTTTAGACTGTTACTTGCTTTTTTCACCCTTTCCGGATATTCATGGAATAGGGTTTTTTTTTTCTTCTTCTTCATTATTGTCACTAGCCTTCCCATTCACCCCCCAAAGAATGGTGAGTAGTTAAATGACCGAATCTGCATATCCAATTAGATTTATACAGCAATAAGTTTCACGGAATGAAATAGAATTCACTTTTGAGTGAAAATGCTTACAATTAGGTTGCAAACCTCGTAAGTAAAACACCAAGACTAATGATTCATTCCATTTAACCTCTCCCTTGCCAGAATCAACACTACGAATCTGGTTACAGATGCTATCCAACTTTAGGCAAAAGCAAATTCGTTTCAACTTCCACCACAAGAACACACTTAAGACTGTGTGGGTTTGCTGCCCTCAAAAGCTTAGAGCGCATCACAACAGATCTACTTGTTTCCACAGCGCTAAGAGGTTCATTTGGCAAATTTCACACACACACACACACACACACACACACACACACACACACTTAAGGTGTTTCTAAGGTGTTGCATCTTTCAGCTCAGGGAGGGGAAAAAAAAAACACCCAACGTGACAAACCTCCCTGCCCCATTTGCGGAGTTGCAATATCCCCGCCAATAACTCCTTTCCGCAATATTTAAAACAAAACCTGATTGATGTGAGATTTCCTCAGGCCCAAAAAAAAATCATTTATCATCTAACGACCTTCCTGCGGGATGATGTTAAAGGGAGGGGAGGGAAAGGGGGAAGAAGTTAAACCGATTTCCTTAATCTGCCTTCCTGAAACAAAGAAAAACAAACAATAGCTATTTCCCCAACATCTAACTCTCTGACGGCCAAGGGACAAGCTGTCCCAACATCCAAAACATTTTGAAAGTCAAGCCTGGCAGTCTGGCAAAGAAAGCAAGCAAGGCGGCATCCCCAACTGGGGCGAACTGACAGATCCCAGTTTGAAAGCCACCCGGACTTCTCAACTCTCGAGAGAAAGAGAGACAGAGAGAGAGAGAGAGAAAGAGAAAGAGAAAGAGAGACAGAGAGAGAGAGAGAGAGTGAGCGCTCCGGGCATTGCAAGAAAACTCTTATTTCTTATATTCTCAATCATCCAGGTCACGGTTGTCCCAAAGGGGCTTTTTTTTTTTTTTTTCTGGACAAGAAAAGTCCAGTTGCCTCCAGAAAAAAACCCTTCGGGACAAGAAAACTCTTCCCGCCGCTCTCACCCAGGCTCGCTTTCTCCCACTCGCGGGAGCGCCTGCAAACTCGCCAACTTGACCCCGAACCTGAAAAAAGGAGCACGGATCCTGGAGGAGGCGTAGCGTGGAGAAGGCGCCCCTTGCAAAAACTCTTCGGCGTTCCGAGCCGCGAGAAAAACGCGGGGTGGGGTGGGATGGACGGGGACGGTCCCCGATTTTTGACTTCGACTCGGGTTCAGAGCCCCGATCTCCCCTCCGCCTCCCCCCACCTGGGGCCAAGCGCTCCCCCTTAGGCTCTCCCCTCGGCTGGGCGAGGAAGCGCATCTTTCTCCTCCACCCGCCCACCCATCTTCTCTCTAAGCGCCAGGCGCCGAGGGCATCGCCCACCCGACTTCCGAGCCGACCCCTCGTTTAATTAAGGCCAAATAAAAAGTTTAATCGGCCGGGTTTGGGGGGATTTTTGGATTCGGTGCGGATTCGCTTCGTCCGGGCTTTTGAGCGCGGCGGCGACGGCGCTCGCCTGGATCTCCCTTCCTCTGCAGCGAGGCTTCCTGAAGGGCATCGGAGCCGAAGAGAATGCCGGGGGCAGTCCGCTCGCGAAGTGTGTGTGTGTGTGTGTGTGTGTGTGTGTGTGTGTGTGGTGATGGGGCGGAAAACCACCCTTCAGGTGCACATGGCCGGCAGCGGTCACCACTGCCTCGAGTCCCTTAGCCGGAGCGTCAGCCGGGTCTCTCGCCCCCCAATGCTTCCCCTCCCCTTAAGGAGCTGATCCCGTTGCCCTGCGTCGCCGGCATGTCCAGCCCTTCTGGATCTACGGACGCCCCGCTGGAAGGATTCGACCCGTACACACACACATATACATACACACACACACACAAAGCGAGAGGCGGGTAAACCGTGCACGGTGCTAACCTTTTTACCGGTGGGGCTGGGCTGCCTTCGCCTGGTTTAAGCGGCGCCGAGGCTTCAGCGGAGCTCCGGCTCCCGTAGCCAGCCTTTGTCTTCCCGCAGCCTCTGCGCTGCGCGAGTCTCCATGTAGCCAGCATCACTTCTCCATCAAGCAGCCCCGCAACCAGCCCAGCCAGCCAGCTCCCCGCAGCTGCACCAGCCGCCGCGGCAGCAAGCAGCAGCAGCAGCAGCAGCAGCAGCAAGCAGTTCCCACCGCACGCCCAGCCACAGCAATGGAACTTGGCCCTCGGCGACTGACAGGCGCGAGCAGCCAATCGACGCCTCTTTCGACTCTCGGGGAGCCCGAGGTGCGGACCAATCAACGGAGGAAGGAACCCCTCCGTGATCGCCTCCTCTCTCTCTCTCTCTCTCTCCCTCTTTTCCTCAGCAGCCTGGTTTCCGGGAGAGTGGGAAGCGCGAGGAGCGTTCGGGGTCTGTGGTCTCGCGCTCGGCCGCTTTGGCATTGGGGGCGGTGTGGGGGGGGGGGGGGGAGAGAGAAGGGAAACGGGACGCAGAGCGCGCGCCGCGGGCGGGTGTGTGTGTGTGTGTTGCATTATTTCCGAATAGAATTCGAGTAGATTTCATCCTTTTCCCTCATTTTTTTTTTTTTTTAAAGAAAATAAATCTCTTGACTTACCGTACGGGCGATGGAGCCCAGAAGACATCCTAGACTAGAGAGAATGACTTGACCGAATATGAGAATTAACTTAAAACTGCCTTCTGGCGAGTTAATGTTGAAAGTAAACGGACCGGCAGGTATTGCAAAACAGCAGATGGGCGATTATCTTGAGCTGGAAGAAGGATTACCCCCACTTGCACCGCTTTCGCTTTTTCTACCTTCAGCGCCACCTTTTGAGGTTAAACCGTGGTGCTTTGCTTTTCCCTACGCTTTACTTTTTCCTCAAAGAAAAAAGAAAGGAAATAATCATAATTCGTCTGCGGTGTGAATGAACGGAGCAGATGAGGGGTGAAATCCAGCAGGTTCTGACAGGTTCTGGAGAACCCGTAGCGGAAATTTTGAGTAGTTCGCAGAACTGGCAAATACCACCTCTGTCTGGCCCCAGAGTGGGGTGGGAATGGAGACTTTGCAATATCCTTGCCCCAGGAGTGGGGAGGGAATGGGGATTTTGCAATATCCTTGCCCCAGGAGTGGGGAGGGAATGGGGATTTTGCAGTATCCTTCCCCTGGAGTAAGGTGGGAATGGAGATTTTATTTATTTATTTATTTATTACATGTATTTATATGCCGCCCTTCTCCTGAAGGACTCAGGGTGGCGAACACAAATTAAGAAACATGTACAATAAAATCCCATTTTAAACCAAATAACTAATTAATAATAAATAATAAAACCCGGAATCAGAGTCAGCCTATTTGCTTGAACAGCCAAGTCTTCAGGTCCTGACGGAAGGAGCGGAGATCAAGAGCCGTCCGGAGCTCGGTAGGTAACTCATTCCAGAGGGTGGAAGCGCCCACAGAGAACGCCCTACCCCTGGGCACTGCTAGACGACATTGGCTCGCCGTCGGAACCCTGAGGAGAGGGGCCCTATGTGAGCGAACAGGATGGTGAGAGGCAGGCAGGAGAAGGTCCTGCAAATATCCCGGACCTAAGTCATGTAGGGCCTTATAGGTGATATATTTTGCAGTATCCTTCCCCCAGGATTGAGGAGGGAATGGGATTTTGCAGTATCCTTCCCCTGCCACACCCACCAAGCGACGTCCACCAAGCCAAGCCATGCCATGCCTACCAAGCCACGCCCACAGAACCGGTAGTAAAAAAATTTGGATTTCACCACTGGAGCAGATGCGTGAAGCAATGGAGAAGGAGCGCTTAGGAACTGGTGGTGGTGGCTTGTCTCTAGAAATGAGGAGTTAACTAAAACGACAAAAACACTCAGGACAGCCACTCCAGGGCAGAAAAGTCAAAGGAGGAAATTCTACCTCTTTATTTTTATTTTCTTTTTGCCATCAAAAAGTTCTCTGGATTCTTGCAGCCCCAATTTGGTAGCCTAATTCTGAGGTGGAAATGTGTTTTATTTATTTTTTTCACAGCCTTCTCTTAGAGGTTCATGCTCTCTGACAGGAGCTAATAAAATAACTGGGTTTATCCAAAAAGGGGGAGGGAGAATGGCACACACTACCTTTTAACTGACCTTAAAAAGAAACAGAGCAACTGAAAAGTACATACAGAACATAAGCAATCGATGAAGAAATCAGAATTTTCTAGGGAAACATTTCAGTCCTGCATGAATACCCTCATAGTTAGTTCACTGCAACTTTTTTTCATAGGACATGCTTCTCCACAATGGATAGAATCATGGTTTCTCAAACTATTTTTCTCAGTTTGTGTGACACGCTGAATCATATTTTAAGGGGGGGGGGGAATGTGAAATCATAGCTGCAAAAGTAGTTGCCAAGCTTATGATCTGCCACAATAGATGGCAGTCCCTGCCTGACCTTGGATGGTCTCAACCAGGGTAGTTCTAGATTTTTAGGCCCAGTTGTTCCTTCTGTGTAGCTGTCCTTTCTGACTCTACATTTCCTTAAAAGCTTTCTGGCCCAGTAGTTTTACCTTCACTATCCCAAGAGACATTTTCATGGAAATGCTTTTTTTTTTTTTTTGCTTATATATATTTTAGACTCTCCTTTTATATTCAAGAAATAAAAGATGTTTGAAACTTTTTTTAAAAACCCAAGTAAACTCTTTTTAAAAAGCTAATGGCCTCCCATTTAAATCCTTGATTTAGATGGAAGACCATTGGAAAATACTGTAGATTATTAAAAGAAAGTTTTTTTAAAAAAAAAATTACCAGAAAAAGACAATAGCAAGTCACTTCCATATTGTTGTCAGAAAGTCAAACACGGGCTACTTATGAAACCCCCGAGTTACGCACAATTAAAGAAACTAGGTTTTGTTTTTTTTTACTTTGTGTTTTGGCATGTTGTACATATAAATTATGAGTATTATTAGGTATAAATGGTCTCTAGCAAAGTTTCTCCTTTTTTATATCAGTTTTTTCTGTTTTCTTTTTAATATCACTTTTTCTGTTTCAGCAAGGAATTATAGGGGAAAATGCTGACATGGAGGAAAAGGTGATAATGGGAAACTGATTAATAAGTGGATTGGATTGTCATGTATATTTTTTAACACATCTCTTTCTTTTCATTGGGCTATTTTATTGCACAAATTAATTTTTGTTTCCATTTGCAAAATAAATGTGAAGATTTTGGAGCAGTTGTAAAACATAAAAAGATTTCAAACTGTAACAAGAAATGCCTCTTAGTCTGAGGGGGGCTCTCAGAGTGACTTCCTGATCTGAGCCTTACAAGATCTTTCCTGACTGGGTATCCTCCAGGTATGTTGGACGACAATTTTCACAGTAGTTCAGTCAACATGAGAAACGCTGCCTTGAGCAAATTTATAAGATCAGATAAACTAAGAATATAGCTAACCACATAATCAACCACATAATCTTTTCTTCTATTTTGGCTTAATATATTGTACAGTCCATTCTATGCAAGCCATGTTTTGTTTAACTGGATTCTGCCATTGATTGGGTTTGCCTAAAACTTAGTCAAAGCCAAAGAAACCACATTATGACTAAGTTTGCTGTGGTTTATACATAAAGATTTATGGTTTAGTGTGCATGAATCCAGTTTGCGTGAATCTAGTTCAGTGGCATGAATCCAGTCAATAGTGGTTAACTAAACCATGGGTCACTCTGAACTCAAGGTATGGGGAGGAAAGTCAGTCTGTGAAGAAATGTAGGAATCTCAGTTGCCTGCTTTTAAATACTAAAATCTTATTGTCCTGCCCCTGTTGTATTATTGAAGATAGTGTTTAAGGAATTGAACTCAAAAAATCTTGTATCCTAAAAAATACTCAGAGCTTGAGGGGATGTTGAGCATATTGTCCTCAGGCTAGGTGAAAAAACCCTAAACATCATGTGTGCTGCTGAATTGGTTTAACTGAGAATTACTTATTAAAACACAATATCAATATCAATACTGACTTGTGTATGTTTTGGTAATCCGTGGAGGTCTGCTGGAGCTCTACAGAAATTTCATGTGAAGCGATGAAGCTGAACTGAAGATGCTCGTTTTCCAGTTCTTGACTTGACTTTACAAGGAAAGAAACTCTAGCTTCTTCAATAAAAGGACCCCATATTCTCTTGAATGCAGAGCACTTAAAGAGCAGAGCATGATCCAGAGGCTGATAAAATCCATGCCTATATGTCAACACTGCTTGGGATAATTACCCCTGGGTTTTAGAGAGTCTAAGACAGTTTGTGTGCAGAAAACGTCTAAAAGGAGTAACCGATTTCTTGTTTGTTTTTGTAAGTAACATTTCTTCATTTTGCAGATAAGCAGATCAGCATTAGCTAGAAGTCAAAGTATAAACCCTCTTAATAGACTGTCAGTCCAAATATATGAAAAACTAAGGTAAACACTCATCACAGGCAGGTTATCTGTGCCACAAAAGGAAAGAAAGAAAATTCAGAAGAGATCTTATAGAGGGAGAGATATGTTAGCCAAAGATCAAGACCTAACTAAACATTTTATTAAAAGGCATAACATTTCATAAGCAGCAGCTCACTTTACTGGATGCCAGTCCTGTAAATGGCAAATTATCTAGAAACAGGATCTTGAACCGAGTAAAAGTCTGTTTTTCTACTCATTTCCAGAGGAGTATCTATTTGAATCTGTCACATTTGGTTAATGTAATTTCTGCGGTGGGACTCTTTATTGCTTTGTATCCACATCAAAATTCAGTAGTGTTTTCCATTCTATATCATCATAATAGTCTTTTCATTTCAAGATGTTAATGTCTCAACCCAGTTTGGTGTAGTGGTTAAGATATTAGATGGGAAGCCAGAAGACTGACTGACAGTCCTTCCTTAGACATGAAAACTGGTTGAACAATTTCAGGCCACTCAGCCAACCTACCTCACCAGGTTGTGGTAGAAAAACAGGAAGCAGTAACAATATGTACATCACCTGAATTGAATGAAGGTAGGATATAAATCTAAACTCTCAACTTCAGAACATCAAATGCCTTAAAATGGGTCTCCAACCCTCGGACAGTGGACCGGCACAGGTCTGTGGCATGCCAGCAACCAGGCTGCGCAAACAAGCAAAACCCCATCCACGGGATGGAGACAGCACATGAAACCGTGCCCCGTCCTGTCCATGGAAAAACCTCTCTCCACAGAACTAGTCCCTAGTACCCAAAAGGTTGGGAGCCACTGCCTTAAAAGATAATGCAGAGGAGCAATTAGGAATGGAACTGCAAGAAAATGGCTTAGTCCAAGGTAAATGAAAGAGGGTCATAATTAGCAACACGAATTGTGATTCCCTGTTACG